CAGTGTCGCAGCACAGTAACGTCCAACCTCTAATGATTAGTCTCAGGGATTTTGTTTTGGAACTTATATGAGACATGCTGTTATTAAATACAGCCTTTGAGAAAACCCCATGGAGTAGTGGCCAGGGAGACTAGTTACCAACGGACAGGTTAAGAAGGAGGCAGGCAGGGCTGGAAGCACGAGGAACTGAATCCAAGATCAGGGGGATGAGGCAGAGGGGTGCTGAGCTCCGGCTAATTAGACAGCAGCTATGAAAAGAAAACAGAGATGATCAAACCAAGTAAACAGAGGGAAACTTTCATCCTCCTGTGAGATGAGGCCTGATTCACAGTGACTGTGGATGGATGGAGACACTCAGGGCTTAGAGAAGGGTTCCCCTGCAGAGAGGGGCGTTTGCCTTCTCCTCTGAAGCCCTCCTTCCCCTCCTGGCATCCTTCTTCATGGGCCTGTTGCCTGTAACTCTGAACTACGTCTTATCATTGTCATGCTGCTCCCAGTTCCCAAAACCTCCTGTCTGTGTTCCAAGCCATCCCCCCTTCCCCAGATCACCCACTCCAAGTACGCGCCTTGTCCCTCAGACCCTCACTCCTCCCAGGTGTCTTTCCCTGGGGCTTGACTATCTGCTGGTGGTACGGTGGTTCTGTATGTCAGTTGGCCATTTGCTTCTAATAAATAGGAGTTTGTGAGAAACACTACTCTCTTGATGAGGAGGAGAGAGCTAACCCTACAGAGATTCACCATGTTCCTGAAGTCACTGAGCATCAGTGAGAAGCAGAGCCTGATCCTGAGAGGAAGCCAGCTCCTTGGGGAGGGGCTGCCTACCCTCCTTGACATTGACTGGTTGAGCCAGACCGACCCAGTGGGTGAGTCAGGACAGAAACAAAGTCACATAATCTACTCATAAAAAAGGGAAAATTCAGGGCACAGGGATCCTCAGGCCTGAGCTCGAACCCTATCTTTAGGTTCTGTGCGGCCTGGCATGGGTACCTGCATAGATTCATACCCAGAAATAAGATGGAAATCAGAGGTGGACCAGGGCCTGCACTAGGGGTGACTGTCACCGTTGTCTGCTCTGCTCCTGAGCGCCCCCTACAGGAGAGCAGCCCACAGGGCCAACAGCTAAGATGCTGCCAGTCAGTCGGGGTTTCTTATTCAGTCTGTACAGAACGCACAAACCAGCAGAGCATCTCTGTTAGCACTAACAGCGCTGAGCTTTGGACTCCGGCAGCTCTCAGCTCTTTTCATGCTAGTGTGTCCTTGCTACATAGAGCAGGCCTTTATCATCAGGCCCTGGAAACCCTGAGAGTAGCTCCTGCCACTCTGCCACACTGTCTTCCTCTGCTACTCGCCAGCTTCTGCCGTGTCATCAGCCCTAGTTGCTGGCTACTGCTGGCACCAGCAGCCATTGGTGTTACCAGCTGTGAACATACTGGTTCGGCCTGCTTGATCCAAGGTACAAATCACAAATAGGCTAAAATATGGCATCTCAGAGAAACTGTATGAGGACTCCAGTGGGAACGGAACACAGGCTGAACAAGCCAAGCATACAGGGATGCTCTTTACAAAGGAGAAAAACCAGGCTCACGCATGCAGTGTCAGATTTTCTGTGCGGTGGTGGGTGGGGACGGGTCCTTTGTGGGGCTAGCTGAGAAAGGCTGCAGGAGGACAGAGCCAACCAGAAAGGAAGTCGCTGGGATAGGTCTTATACCTGAGCCTACCACAGCCAAAGAAAAGTCCCCAGCCTGGCCCCGGAGCGCCTCTATAGCCAGGACAGCAGTGGGGCATCTGGGCAGCCCTGGAAGAAAAATAAAAAGTGCCTCTCAGGGCATACCAAGCCCTTCTCCCCTGTCTCAGTGTCTGCAAAACTTGTCCTAGCAACTACCTGCATGACCCCAGCAAGTCCTTCTCTACCCAGGACCTTAGCCTCCCCATCCTTTCAACAGGGGAATGAGTGGATTTCTCTTCCGGCTCTGACACTTAGCGATTTTTACAAGATGGTTTGATTCCAATCATATTTTAAAAATCCTGTCTGTGCTTGAACACTTCAAATATTTTATTACCAGGTCTACAGTACATAACAAAGTAATTGTGTAATTAAGAGATAATGTCAATGCTGTAGAACAATGTTGACAAGATAATAGCCTTCTGAAACCGCATAAATGCCAAGGCAGGAGAACAGATTTACGGGTTGAAAAACAGAAAAGCAAGAAGCAAATGGCCCAGAAGCTGTTTGTACACAAAGTTAGAAGGCAGGCCTCAAAGTCGAGTTTCTGCCATGACATTCAAGTGCGGACCCTCATGATACCCCAAGTCCTTGGGTCAGGTCTAAAAAAGACAGAGTTGTCGGTGATAACTCGTTCCTGTCTCTTTATTGATGGACTGGTAGAAATTTAGCCCCTGGGGCATGCCTAGCATTGGGTTCAAGCCTTCCTAGATTCCCCAGCCGGGACAGATCAAGATGTTGAGACCAAATTAGGAAGGATTTGTTCTGCATAGTTCACAGGAGGACCTCCACCCAGAGCCCTGGATTTTCTACCAGTTTGTCACCTTTCCTTACCCTAGCTGGGAGTCGCCACCTTAGATCCAGTTTCTTCCAGAAGAGGAAGGAGCTGGAGGAGTTGGAGAGAGGGTGGGCCACATGACCTTGAGACCCAGAAACTGTTCTCCTGCTGGACTAAAGGATCAGGCACTGCCGTGATTGGACCACAAGGAAAGATGAAGCCTGCGGAGGGTTGGGGCAGCGGGAGGCTTACTCGCTGAGTCATACAGTACTGGGAAGGAGGCACAGCCCAGAAGCTAAAGGAAGTTAAGGGCACAGCAAACGGGAAAAATTGATTCATGGGAGAGGAAAGAGGCGAGACCACCCCACTTGGAAAAGGGTCCTGGGTGCCACAAAGAGCACTGGCTTTGGGGACAGAGGAACTGGCTCTTGCCAGGCACTTGTTCAGGGACTCTGAGTCAGTCAGCGATTTCCTGTTTCTAGGGCTGTTTCTTCACCCCTGAAATAAAGCTGCTGCATGTGGTCAGCAGTGGCCAGACCCTGGCTGAAGCCAACGTCTATCACCAAATGGCTTCTTGGGTGGTTGGGACAACTGCAAGCCAGGTCCACCCTGAAGCCTCTCTCAGCCCTAACATCCACCAATCCTAGGAAATGACGATGACTTTGATAAGTTGCTGAGCACCAGAGCTGTGACAGGTTCATAAGCACAGTGGTGGAGTTAAAGCACCATGACCTGTTAGAGTAACACCAGGTGGACATGCTTTCCATGGACCCTCCTGCAGGGCACAGAACCCAGGGGTGCAGGGCCACAGGTCCCGTGAGCCTGAGCTACAGTCCCCCACCTCTCCAGACATCCCTGGGCACTCTGTACCTCCACCCAGAGCCCCTCTCTCTGCAGGGACCTCCTTCCTGGCCAGCTCTTGGGACTCCTACTGAGGAGGCCTCCCTGTGCCCTCAAGCAGGGCTCACGGTCTCCTCATCATATGGCCTTCGCTAAGTTTTGACCTATCCAGATGGCTGGTTCTTGGATTTGTCTCTCTGGTTAGACTTCTCACAGAGAAATCATCTTTTGGCCTCACTAAATTGGGGAACTAAGGCAGCGTCCCACACAGAGGAAGAGCACCCAAAATACTGTTAAAGGACAGATGAAGAATGGAGAAGAGGGAAGGAAGGGAAGGAAAAAAGGAAAGATGTGGAGGAGGGAGGGATACAGCAGGAAGGCAGGCAGGGAGGAAGGAAGGGAGGGAGGAAGGATGGTTGGAAGGAGGGAGGCAGGGAGAGAGGAAAGGGGGGAAGGAAGAAAGGAAGGAAGAGAGGGAGGGAGGGAGGGAGAAAGGAGAGAGGGAAGGCAGGCAGGCAGGCAGGCAGGGCAGCAAGTGTAACCCCACAACCCCCTCTGAGTACCTTTAAACAGCCTCAGCCTTGGCTGTCCTGGGCCATGGGGGTGGGGAAGAGTTCTGCTTTTTTTTAGTGCATAAAGTCCTCATCCCAATGACTCTGCTATTTTTATATACTTATTATAAAAACAATAGAACCACATTGAAAAAAGTAAGGAGCTGCTGCTCACCCCTGCAGCTGCTCCTGGGTACTTGGGCTTGGCTGGTGGCGAGCGCTGTGTGTGTGAGCCAATTTTTTATTACGCTTTTTCTCTCCCTTTCCTAGGAGTCCATATGCTTTTTCCGTGTTGCTCCACAATCTCTGTAATTATCACTTTAATGGCTGCTTAATATGCCATCGGGTTGATGGGCCATAATTTACTTAACCATGTCCCTCTTTTGAATGTAACCTTTTAAAACATTAAACAACGCTTAGAAAGGTGCTAAAATAAGGGGAGAAGGCAATTTCTCGGAAAGGTGCATGGCGTTTCTGAGGCGTGTATGTGCTCAGTAGGCAAGAGGCCTGGGCTGGGCCGGAGCGACGTGGCAGAAGGGAGAAGGTGGCGTCTGGACCCCACCCCGAGGGCCCAGTGTGCCCCTGAGCTCTGGCTTTCACCAAGGAGAGGCAGCCACGGAGCGCTTGGCAACATCACCATAACAGTAATAATAATGGCTAATAGTGATTGACCCCTGCACCACACACTTGATAGCCGTAATCTCATTTCATCCTCCCCGCCAGCCAGTAAAGCAGCGCTATCATTTGATTCCTGGCCAGGGTCACATGGTCAGCGCAAGGAGGTCCTGTCTCCGGGTGCCCGGCCCCGGTGCTCTGCGCCTGTGGCTTCCCCACCTCCGCCCAGCTGCCCAGGCTCACCCTCCCCAGGTCACGTGCCGCGCTCCAGGTGCCTCCTCGCTCTAGGCCAGAGCCCAGACGCCCACTCAGGAGGCAGCCTGAACCCCGAACCTGCAGGCAACCTGCAGCTAGCACATGGGACCATGCCCTGCTGTCAGCACTTGTCCAGGGCATCCGGGGCAGTACATACAGCAGAAACATCCAGTCTGGGCGTGCTGCCTGGGCGCTGGTGTGCACAGCTCTGTGGCCCTAGGCCACTTCTGTCTCCTAAAGCCCTAGTTGTGTCCTCTGTAAAATGGAGATTACACCTGCCTGCTGCGGGGGGCTCAGGATCCGGAGGTGGCAGGTGGTGCATGTGCAGTGCTCAGAGGTCCTATTATCTCCACAGACCAGACAAGGAGTCGGCTCCCTGAGACAAACTCGGTAGGGTGAGAAGCAAATCCTCCGCCTCCACCCAAGACGAGGTGGAGAAGAGCTCTGTGAACTTTACGGTAAGGATTTCCTTTCTCCATCAGCTCCAAGGCACAAGGAGCAGGATGAGGGCCATAATAATGTCAATGCTGACATTTATGGAAGCTTCCCTGCAGGCCAGGCACGAGGCCACCCACTTGATACGTGTCAACTCGGGTCGTCCTCGAGATCCACTCGGAGGTAGGGACTAGCAACAGCCCTGTGTCACAGCGGAGGCACGGCAGGGCCAGACAGCCCGTCGCAGCTGCCTGTGGTGTTCCCAGGGCCCCTGCAGGGTAGACAAAGCAGAGCGACCGGCACCAGGGAGCAAACTAGCCTGCTGATGTGTGCTGGCCAGAGCCCCTTGGAGGTCACCTTCAGCTCTGAAAGGTCCACTGTTGCTCTGTTCTGGCTACCGGTGTCATGCCTCGGTCATATTTCTCTCTAGAAACCCCACAGCCTGTCTGGCATGTCTCAGGCAGTTGGTAAAAGTTTGCTGAGTGAGTATTTGTGAAAGACAAGTTTGTCAAGTCCCAAGGGGTGCTGATGTGTAGTGGGGAGGCAACGAGGAGAGGTCATCCCCACACACAGGAGATGGGTGCGTGACGCCACTAGGCCCCCCACAGGGTGTCCTTCTGAGAGTCAACTTATGTGTCATCTCTACGAACAGCAAGATGCCCCTGGCGTGCATGTCATGCAGTGCAGTGGCAGGAATATCACTGGGAGGGGTGGCTTGCTGCTGCGCCCTGAGACTCTGCCTGCCCTTCCAGCTGTGCCAAAAATAGTATCCTACGTCAGTGACAGGAAGACACACAGGGAGAGAGTGGAATCTGGGGGCCACTGAGCACCGTGTGCCCAGCGGGAGCCCACGGGACCACAGAGCCTGTGACCAGGCTCTGTTTCCTCTGCCCCATCTTCCCCAGAGCCCTTCAAGCACCCCTCTGTAGCTCACATACACATACTCCCAAGCCCCTAAGACCAGCCATACTGCCATCTGACCTAGGAATCCATGGGTGCAGGCCAGGTGAGGGGAGCCAGGGCTTCCAAGCCACTATGACACACCGTAGTAACTGTGTCACTCAACACCATCAGACAACACACTTCCACCCCAGGGCTCTGTCCAAAGTCACCCCAGTCCTTGCTGCCAGGCTTGGAGATCCCAGACATCTGCTGAGGACTTTGCCTCGCTGAGAGCACCCTGAGAGCAGTGGGGCCAGCTCACCTGCATGCAGACTACCAATGCCTGCAGAAAGGTCAGAACCCCAAGAATTCTAGTCAACAAGCACCGGACACAGGAGCCACTCAGCGTGGGTCACCGGGAGGCCCCTGAGGCCCCCAGGAGGTTCACCCACCAATCAGACTCCATGTGGACAATTAGACACAGGTTGCTCCTTCCTCCCTCCATTCCTACAAAGGAGGAAAGAGCAGCAATCAACAGCAAGACAAAGGGCCAATGAGACAGCTCAGTGGACTAAGCACCTGCTTAGACAAGTGCAGGGGCCAGGTTTGATCCCTGGCACCACAGGCCATGCCAGCCCTGCCCCCGGGCATGCTGAGCTGGCCATTGAGTCCAGGTGTGGTGGTGCACGCCTCTAATTCCAGAACTGGGTGGGGGGCAAAAACAGGATGATCACTAGAGTCTGAGATGTATAGTGAGACCCTGTACCAAATACATAAAAAGAAAAAAAAAAAAAAGCAAAGCAAAGCCACTGTCCCCAGCACACAGAGACCAGCTCCCCGTCTTGCCTGAGTCTCTCTGGGGATCTATGTCATGGGAGTCATTGAGAGGCAGGCTCGGGAGTGGGAAATCACAAACGCGATGGTGTCAGGGCTCTAGCCGACACCTGCTGAGAGCTCTCCTGGGAGAGGCTCCGCTCCTGACCCAGCAGGGTAGGAAGTAGCCATGCCCTGAGCCAGGAAACTGAGGCCCAATGAGGATGCTCTGCATTGCTGCCCCTGGGCCATGCTTTAATAAAAGGGCAGGACGCCCTCCTTCCTCCCTAACTAGGTTTGATTTACAGGCAAAATCTTCCTGGCTAAGCTCACCGCAGCTCTGGCCTGGGGGATGCTGAGCTCACTGCAGCAGCTGCTGGGGCTCTTTCTTCTTCCTTCTTGCTGCTCATGGGTGCCTAAGCTGTAGGATGGGAAAAGAGGTTCGCAAGCTCCATCTCTCCAGGCTCATAACGAAGCGTCTCAAAATGCTCCAGGAATTAGGATAGAATTTATTACACATTGGGAGCAAACAAGTCAGTCCAGTACACAGATTTGCTGCAGCCGTCGAGAGCTATAATAGTCCTAGAAGTGGCCTTGGAGATAGGAAGGCCTAACCCGCAGGGTTTGCGGAGGAAAGGCTCAGGTGGGCGGATCACTCACTCAGGCAGGCGGGCCACACAGCAAGCTGCAAGGGCTGGAAGCCGTGGGCAAGCACTGAGCTCCTCTGGTAGGCTTTCTCCTGATTTTAATTTGTTCTTGTGGCTTCGGAACTCCAGGACTCCCCACCCCCTCCCCCAGCATGCAAGATCCGTGAGCACAGGGACGGCGTTTGCCTTTTTCCATCGATCCCCACACAGGAAGCGCTTAGTAATTATTGGGGCGATAAATAAGGCAGAGGACAAAGTTTCTCTTGAAAGCAGAAGAGGAAAACCGAGCAGTGGCTGGTCCTGTTTAGAACGGTGGAAAACTTGTGCCAAGAGTGAGTATCTCTCTAATTCTGGATCCCAGCTCTCGGTATTTTTAATCAAGTGTTAATTTCTGCAGAGGGAGGGTGATGGCTTATAATCAGGTGTCGGTAAGGCTGAGACACCACTGAGCATGCCAAGCATTTGGGCACGGAGATCAATGCCATGTCTAGTAGCACGGTCCCCAAGAAGAGTGCTGCAAGTGTCACACCGGCATTCTCTAGTCTCCCCCAGGGACAGGAAGACACAACCCGGTTTGGGTGCTTCTCACTGCGAAGAGAAGCCAGAGGGGCTGCTGCGGAGCTCCGTTCCTGCGAACTCACCCAAGACTGGCGCCCGCCTCCCTCAGGCTGAGGAAATCTCACAAGAGAATTGCAACATGGCAAAAACAATCTGTTCACATCAGACGTCCGCATCTTTACCTGTGTAGCTTCTCCGCAGAGGACGCAGAGGAAGCAGCCTTCAGGAGGACAGGACGGCAGACTCCAAGACCCTTCCAAGACTGAATGCTCCACAGCCCCCTCGCTCCCTGGCCCCCGTGGGACCCTGACACCCTGCCTCCTGAGCTCAGCCAACTCTGTTGGTTTCTCTAAAAGGAAAACAAAAGCCAGTTTGGAAGCAGGGCACTCACCACTAACGCCCCTCCTCCAACATGTTAAACCCTGGACATAGCCCGTGACAGTGAGGTCCCCTATCTCTCTTGGCCCAGCTTGGAGCCTCAAAACGCGGCCTTCCCCCTCCTGCCCTTGTGCTGTACCTGTGTCCCGCCCACGATGAGCCCCACTCAACCCAGATAGAGCCCCACTATGTCACCCACCCACAAATGTAGTGTACAGGTGAACAGCGTGGGGTCAGCACATCTGACCAGGCCTCCCAAGGCCACTTCTGGTTGGCTAACTGGCTGTGGGCAGCCACCAACCACCTAACCTTTCCAAACCTTGGGCTCCTGGTCTGTAAAATGAGAATAAGGACAGTCATGAGTTCCCCGGATTGTCACAGCACTCATGAAACACAACTGTTCATTATCAGTAATCCACAAACACCTGCCCAGACCTAATGCTTGCTGTCTCCAATCATGCCCGTTGTTTTCTCCGCTTCTATGCCTCTGTCCTATTTATCCCAACAAAATGTCCCTTTGTGCTCCCTACCATAGGAAGCTAAGTACCAATTTGCCAAAAGCCCAGGGCTGTTTCCTGAGCTACATGGTCACCTCCTTCCTTGGCACCCCTTGATGGCACTGCCCACCTCCTTCTCCTGGCCCAGAGCCGGCCAGCCTGCCACTGCATTCTGACCCTGCTTCTGGCTGGCCACACGGTGATGGGTAATTTTCCAGTCTGTGCCCTGAGAATCCTTATATTGTTATAGTGCATGAGTTGTACGTGTGTGTCATAGAAACGTATCATATAATAATGCAGGATTAGATCTGTTTTATTCTCAGTAACTCTAGGAAGGTCTATGAGTCATTAAAAGTACCTTAGCAAGAAGTACCTGGGCCATACAACGGTGCTGTCTAAGCGCTGGCTGTGGTTGGTGGCACAGCGTCCTGGTCCTGCTTCTCATTTGCAGGAGTATAGAGCGTGGCGGAGGGTTGATCGCCATCCTGCCTGAAGCTGTGGATGTTACCAAGGTGACCACACGTGCACGTTGCCTGTTATCTCAGCCTAGATCACAGCGGCGCCTTCCGCGCCTTCCTCACCCTAAGCAGGGCCCAGGAGGCCGAAAGATGGACCACCTCAACATCGCTCGCCATAAATGTGCGTGGATCGGTGAAGGAGAACAGGACTGGGCCACGCTGGGCCACGCTGCCTGGCATGGCCTTTCCCTTTCCCTCCAGAGGCAGCACTTGGGTGAGGAAGGCTCCTTCGCTCTGTCTCCTCCTTGCCTCCGCCGCCTTCCTGGACCTCCAGGCAGGCTGTGCCCTCAGTCCGCCCAGGCAGACTCCCTGGGTGCCCCCCTGCCTCTCCATCTGCACGCTTCAAAACCGAGGGCAAGACATTCACACTAAACTAACAACGCAGCGATGGCCAGAGGGGAAGATGAAATGGGTCTCTAGCTGAACGTGAAGTGGAGCTTCAATCCCAAAAGGCAGACCTGGCACCAGAGTCCGGCTTTGGCAGACACAGCCACCGAACAGCTTTTTCACACATTCACACTGGTTTTCTGGACCGGGATGTGGATGTCTATCCCTCCGCCACTCTGCCCCTCCCAGCTTCACCTGGTAGGCCTGCTTGTTAAGCTTCCTGTAGAGCCATGTGTCTTGCTTGTCTCCGAGGGAGACCGCACCGAAAAGCCCGACCGTGGCCAGGGGACACGGACTCGCCAGTGCACATTTCCAAAGCAGCAGCAAATGACACACAGACCTAGGGATGGGGACCAGACAGAGACGCCCAGGGACCCAGGTCGGCCGAGACTGCCTGCAAATGAAGGTGACCCAGCAATGCATAAAGACCTGGTTCGCACAGTCCAGACTCCTGGTGGCTGTCCTCGCCAGCCAGGGATCCCAAAGTCCTACGGCGGAACTAAAGCAATATACATTTAGCAAACTTTGTGCCGGGCACCTACCATACACAAAGCCCTGGTGAGGCTTCAGAACAGGTGCAGGGTGGTAATTAGTTCAGCAATAAAACAAGGTCCTTTTCCTCAAGGGCTTTTGGAAGGAGTTGCACTGACAGAACAGAGACAGTAAAGAAGGGGCTGCGAGCATTACGCATGCGATGGACATGGCACTAGGCAGCCCCGGGACCCAAGTCCCTGCGGGAAAGGCTGTAAAGATGGGGAAGGAACAGGGAGGCATCTCAGGCTGAAGGCGGGAGGGCAGATAGGACTTGTGCAGCCTCGGTCTAGAGTTGGAAATGACCCAGTGCCTGGCCCCGCGTTCACTCCACACCAGTTTTCCTAGAAAAGTGCAATAGAGGCTGGTGAAAGCTGCACCTACCCTCAGTGTTAGAGGAGCCAAGCCTTGTTCCAGAATTAACAGAGCAATTCACCTGCAAAGCTGCAGAAACATATATAACCTGATGACTTTCAAAGCTGATAATTTGTCCAATTAAACATTTTATGTTGCTGCAACCATATAGATTGGTGTATTAGTAACCCCAAAGGTCTCCACTTCCAGACATTTAGGGATTTTTCTTCTTTCTGCCCAGTCACATCTGTCTGTATAATTATATCACGCAAAGCAGAATGTTGGTATAATTATGGGGAACCACGACTAATGCTTTATTTTCCTTCTGTGGCCCATACATGATCTCAGTTTTCGTGAGCTATTTGGAGTTGTGTTCCACCTTTCGGCACAGCTTGTCCGTCCTTTCCCCAGCACTCTTGTAAACCCTGCTCAAGTCCTCCTGTGCACAAAGCTTGTCTTGACCAATCCAGTACACAATGACTCTCCCATGTTCCCACCCTCCGTGGCATTCACTTGACCTTGGCCTTAGACAGTCTTGCATCTAGTAGAGTATAAACCTCTAAGGGAGAGGACCAAGTCATCTATTTCTGTTCAGTGCATGCAGCGAGCAGCAGAATCCTCGGTGTGTGGATAGACACTGATGCCCTGGGCCTGGAGTGGCAGCCAGGGACGTGGCAAAGCACACATTGGGTGAGTAAAACATTTCCCTTCCACTGACCCAATTCAGTCAAGCCTGGGAAACACAGAGTGTGCAGGTCTGTATCACTTAGGAGTTTCCAGGTGATGGAAAAATCCAATTCAAATTGGCTTAAGGCAGAATTAATGAAGACAGAATTAATTAGTTCAGATAACCACAAAGCCCAGGCAAAGTCTAGCTTCTGGTATTTAGGGACTGAGAGCCAATCAGTGTCATTAGAATAAGATTTTTCCCAATCGCTGAGCTCCATTGTCCTGTTCTTTGGTCATTGGGTCTCATCTCCCCTGGAGCGTCAATCTAGTGGTGTCCCAGTCAATAGATCAGAGCACCACCTCAGGCCCTGAAGTCTCTCCTGGGATCTCATTAGCTCTGGTTGACTCACAAGCCAATCCTTGCACTAATTGTCACAGCCATTGGAATACAGTGGGCTCGGAGGCTTAGGTCAGGGGCGGTATGCTCCACTCCTGGTCCTAGCATCTGTGGCTTCTTTAGTAAGCTCAACAGATAGACCAGTGTGAGGACCACAGGTCTAGTGTGGCCATTGGAGTGGGAGCGAGGAGACCCAGAGGGTGGAAGAGATCACTGGAGTACGTTCTGGACATCTACATGGCTATGTGGTCGCTTTGGGTGGTGTCAGGCCTTGGGGATGGGCCATGAAGGACCATCAGCAAGGGGTCCCACTCACAGGAGCAAACCCCTTAAACAAGACAGAGATGCTTTAAGACTTCAGTCTCCCATTCAGATCTACCTGACCCACACCACAAATTTATGAAATCTCAGCTTTGGAAATGACCTTGGGGGGTCATCAGATCCAAACATGAGTTCCATTTGACCCCAGGATGCTTTTGATGGCATTCTTTGCCAACCGGTAGCTTCTCCATTACATAAATGCCTCCCTTGATGAAGGGGACTCGGGCAGAAATCCCTCTCTTTGTAAAGATTCCTCCCATTAATCCCAGATGTATCAAGAATAATATGGAATAATTCTATTCCTTGCTCCCAAGGCAACCTGTGCATATGGAATTTGAAGACAGCGGCACCCCCTGTTTCTTCTCACTTCCTGGAGAATAGCCCTGGTGTCACTGCTTCAATAAATGGCCCTCGAGTCCCCTGTGGTAAGGGCTTGGCCCTCTGTGGTACTAATGGGGAATGAGAGAGCCCTTAAGAGGTGGGGGAAGTGGCTGGCCATTGGCGTTCTGCCCTGGAAGGGAACAGTGGGATCCCCAACCTTCCCTTTCTCCCTCTTTTGTACTGTCCTTTCTTATTACATGAGCAGTTTTGCTCCCCATTATAGTGTGCTGTCTCCCCACATACCTGAGAGCAGCAGGGTCAGCCACTCTCAGGCTGGTGCTGCACACTCTGTGAACCCCAGTCGTCCTTTTCCCTTTATAAATTGATTATCTTGCAGACTCGTTACTGTCAACGGGAAGCTAACGCACTTAGCAACGTCTGTCAGTCATTTCTTGGGTGAGACGGGGTCTGATCCCTTCCTGCCTGGAGGCCTGTCCCTCTTGACTCTGGCTGGTCCCTGTGTCCCTCTTTTCCTCTTTCTTGTAACTGTCATCATTGTCCTTCTCTTCCTCCCCTTCCTCCACTTCTTCACTTTCTCTTCCTCCTCCTCCTGCTCCTCCTCCTCTTCTTTCTCTTCCTTCTCCTCCTCTTTCTCCTGCTCCTCCTCCTCTTCTTCTTTCTTCTCTTCCTCTTTCTCTTCCTCCTTCTCTTTTTTATAGTACTGAGCATTGGACCCAGGACACTTGCATTGAGCTACATCCTCAGACCCTTCCTTTTCTTATTTTATTTTGAAACAAGGTCTTGGTAAGCTGATGAAATGGCATCAAATTTGAGATCCTCCTGCTTCAGCCCACCCTCTGGGAGCTGGGGTTATGTCACAGGCACATACCACTACT